GTCTGTGTCTAGGTTCTGTCTCTAGGTTCTTCAGCCAGGTTCTCTCGCTAGTTTCTGTCTAGGATCTCCAGCCAAGTCCTGTCTCTAGGTTCTCTGTCCTGTTGTCTTGTTACATCTGTATTTATACCAGTTGATTTTAATCCTATCAATTTCTATTGCAAAGGTTAGGGTGTTTCTTATCTCCATTCCAGGGAGTAAAGATTATGTAGCTTAAGCGTGATTGTTTGTAGTTAAAGTGATTACCCGCCTGGCACTTATTGAAGGGGTTGTATCCCCTCCCTAACCTCAGGGAAAAATCCCCACCTGGGGAAACAACCTTTCTCGGAGAGGTGACCTTGGTTAAAACACATGGCGCTAAGGAGAGCAAACATATTAAGAACAATATGCTATATATGCCAGGTCCCTTGAAACATATGCTGTGCAGATGTGTCTTTCCTGCAGCGACTGTGTCAAGCAGCAAGGATGGACCGGCTTCCGGCACCTCCAATCCAGTTACAGCCATCCTTTACTTCAAAACTTATTGGCCTCTAGTTACCAGATAATATTTAAACTCGGCCTGGACTACAAAATATTTTGTAATTCAGCTCTTACCTACTTTCCAGTCTCATGAAAAATCCAGGCACTTCTTTAATATTCCTCATCAAGCTGATTTCTCACCCTTCCTGAGAGACCACAGGTTTGCTAGTTCCTCAACCTGGAATACTGTCATCATCCATACCCCACCCCTCACCCCTATCCTTTTACAATTCCTTCAAGTTCTAGCTCAAATTTTAACTCCCCAGGAAAACCCTCTGAGCCTTTAGCATATTATTCAGTTGCTCTGTCCTCTGTGTTCTCCAAATACTTTCTTTATTCATGCGAGGTACCACTCTTCAAGTAGTAGCATAATTTTCTGCCATGTCTATTTCTTCCACTGTAAACTCTAAAGTATTTCATCTAGAATCCCCAGTGTCTAGCACAATGTCCAGCAATAAGTCATATCCATGAAGTAAATGATGAATGAGTGATTGAAAGGTAAGTGACCCTGGCCAGTTTGGCTCAGTGGATAAAGCGTCAGCCTGTGGACTGAAGGGTCCCGGGCTCGATTCTGGTCAAGGGCACATACCAGGTTTCGGGCTCAATCCCTGGTGGGGGGCGTGTAGGAGGCAGCTGATCAATGATCCTCTCTCATCATTGATGTTTCTATCTCTTTTCCCTCTCCCTTACTCTCTGAAATCGATGATATATATATATTTTTTTTTAAAAGAAAGGTAAGTGAATGCTGATAATATCACCAGAGAAGTAGCAGAATTATTTGTCTTCTTCTAAACTACTAGTTCTCAAGCATTTTGGTTTTGTGTCCCCTTTACAATTACTTATTTTAAAGAACAACTTATCGATTTTTATCTTATTTTTTTTTCTGTATTTTAGTTGTAATACCAGTTTGTTCCTGGAAACATGCCTGTGACGGATCATTATATTCTCCATCATTTTTTAAAAAATACACATATTTTTATTGATTTCAGAGATGTGGGGGAGAGCTGGAGAGAGACAAGAAACATCAACTCACGAGAATCATCTATTATCCGCCTTCCCAGAAGTCACCATCCTTACGCTCGAGCCCCATTACCCTGGGAACAGACCCCTGAACCACTATTTTATGTCTTCCACCCCTTAATTCCTCGAGGTTCAGAGCCTGTTTTTAATCAGCCAAGGAGTCGCGTGTGCAGGAGTATATATTAAGCTGATACTTTCTCACTTCTATAAATTTGGGAGCGGATATTTCCGAGTTCTTATTTTAATCTCAGGTTGTGGAAGTCCTTGGCTTGTCCCCTCCAATCCGTTCGATAAGAGGAAATTCACGCCTTTCAAAAAGAATTCCTGTGGGGGGAGAAAAAACAAA